GCAGTTTATTTTAAGAATAAATTGAAGTGCGATTGATTATATTTCACATTTCACAATTTCACTGAAAGCAAATTGATTTTTTTACAGGTTTGAAGCAGGATCAATTTTATCTTCTTGCAGTCATAGGAAACCACAAATTTATGATTTTAATTGTTTTGCAATTTCAACAAAAATTTAATTGGAAAGTTGGTTCGCTGGTTGGGTAAATTGCCATGAATATGGCCATTCGTAGAGTGGGAACAGACAATGTTATTTATTTGTGATCATATGATGATTAATTAAACCAATTTAACTCTTACCATCAGTCTAGCGCTCCTATTGACTGTTTCATTCGTTGAAATTTCTGGTTTCCTACCAGAGGGTAACAACACTTTTTTTTTCACATGAGCAACCTTTCCAGAGCAAGTCAGCTCATTGAATAGATTTGGTTCCTCGACTCTTGTGAATGAATAAGTGTTGAAACTCTAGTGCAGAGTTTCTCAAATATGGTATCAACCCTAAGGTTCCTCCAGGTGTTGCTAAAGGTTCCTTGGGTAATAAGCAATTTCAGTTCTCAGATGAATAACCACAGGCCCAAATTAACTTTTTAGCCATGTGTAAGGGGGGAAAGAGGGGGGGGGGGGGGATTCTTCCCAATGACCACTAATGTAAGGAGCATTCTTCCCACTGACCATCACACTAATGTACTGTGAGCTGTAAATATAATAATTAGTAGCAGGGGTTCTTTGAAGCCAAAAAGTTATTTCAAGGATTCTTTGTGTTAAAAAAATCTGAGAAAGGCTGCTCTAGTGCCTCTTGATGTCTACTTGGAGAACATTATTCTAGGTGTCAGGATTAAGAGATCAGCTAATTTTACCTATTGGCACTCCTTTAGGATTCAGAAATAGAGACAACATTTTTGGTTGGTAAAAGCTCCAAAAAGATACTATACAAATATTTTGCTGACAATGGAGGTTGTTAACCAATGGCCAATGAAGCATCAACCCTATCCCATATTTTCCACCTGGAATTACAGCAAGCCTTCTTGGGATGAAGAAATGGAAACTCTGCAACCTAATTGTCCCTCCACATTTAACCCCCATTTTGCACCTATCTGTTCCTGTAATACATGGTAAAAATCAGTGTTTTATTGCACACTGCCGCAGTGTATGGTAACACACTGTAATCTGTGCAGTCATTGAGGTGCCATTTAATTACATCGGCACCGTAACTTGCATCTACAGTATGTTCAGACAGATCCACGCTGCAGAGCACCACAACGCACATATCATGGTTTGTTGTCTTAAATAGACACAGGTCCAGTTTTATTAAATTTCTGCTTGTTGGCACAATATTCTTAAAGCTGTAGTTTAGGTATGGCAATTTTTACATAGTTACATTGATTCATCTTGGACCAATGTAAGTATGTACAGTATGTACAGTATGTGCCATACCTGTGGGATCCCTGTGAAAGATGGATCCCTGCTATTACAGTGATCTCCACTAGCTTCCAGGTCCTGTGCCAAGCTGTTGGCCTACTACATTTTGAGCACAATAGGTCGCTCACCTGGCATGGACACCCTTCAGAGAACACTTTGTATTTTCTCAATGAATCCAATCAGAGAATGCTTTACATTCATTGAGAAAATGCAATGCGTTGCCATAATGGCACCAGTGCTGAACGAGCAACCAGGATCTGGAAGCTAGTGGAGATCATTGTAGTAGCAGTGACTTCAACAGTGATTTCCAGCTTCCACACAGGAAAAGACACATACATACTTACATGGTCAAAGCTGGACCAATGTGACTATGTATAAATTGCCATACCTAAACTTCTTCCATAACAAATGGGCTGTCTTAAGCCAGCCATACTTGTATTGAAATTCTGCTGATTCGGCACAATGTTTGAGCTCCCTGGTTGTACGCAAGTCGTTATCATTGTGTTTTGCTGGCAGGGAAGGCTTCCCGCTGGCACTGGCAGAACACAATAATGCTTTGGGGGGATATTCCCCCATCAACACTGACTGTGTTGATGGGGGAATCTATGCAATTTTCTTTTCTTCCACCACTGGTGAAAGAAAATTGTTTGTTTATGGCCTGCTGTAATGTGATACACATTCATAGGTGTGTAGTAACACACCATAAGAGAATATACAGGTGTGAAAAGGGCCTTTTTCCACAAGTGGGGTTTCCAGACTCCTTTTGTTCCAGGAGCTCCAAAGTAATGAAAGGTGAAATCTGGTTGCCATTAGCTACATTTTACCCATAGTCCCTTTCTGCTGTGAATTATTAAACAGCCCCAAATGAGTTCTTAGAAGTCTGTGAACGCAGCATGTAGCCTGCAACTGATTGACAGAGAAAGCTTTTCAAAGCCTGGCAGGTCTGCAGGAAACCAGAACATACATCATGAGCTGAAATTTTCAATATTTGTAGACTGTTAGCAGTAAACGCACCAGAAATGCACAGCAAACAAAATGTCTTCAATGCAGAAAGTTAATGAATAAATGCAAGATATGCAATATTCATGATGTGCTAAAAGTGGCCTTGGACTTGTGATCGGAATCAGAATGAAATTCATGCTGTGTGAAGATTTCCATTTTTTTTGTACTTTTAAGCTTTTTTTTTTAAGTGAAACATAATCTATGCCATTATTTAAAGTAGCTCTGCCGCCAAATAAAGAATATTGAAAGAAGCACTCTGTAAAGAGGAGTCACTTACCTGTCTGGTAGGTGGTGACTCATACATCTCTAGATGTGGCAAGCCAAATGAACAATTTTAAAGCGTATCTGAACCCAAGAACAAAAACTTTATATATTGCAGATCACCAGTACTTAGATGATGTGGTGGTTGCATTAGTTTTCTTTTAGCTTTTTTTTTCTATTATTTTTATCAGTAAATAGGTGTGTCTAAGCACCCTGCTACGTGGAGTCCATTGGAGGTTGCAGTTAATTATTAGTCCAAACTATTGTTTGGTCCCTGAAGCTATTCTACCTCTGTGAGGCCTCTGCATCCGGTAACCCTCTATAAGCAGTGACAACTTGGGACAGTATTTATGATGTTGACGTTAATAATCTCCAGATAATCTTGGGATTGTATGCTTGGCAAAGGAAATAGTTTTACAGTTGTAATCCTCTGATGTGTGAGTTTAATCTTACCAGTGACCTACACTACCAAAAGATGAGATTATCCTGCGTTAGAGGCAAATCTATGGCAATCCATTCATTATAGGAAAGATATAAGACCATCTAAACCAGCCATTTTAAACTAGGGTTCTGTGGAACCCTAAGGTTCATTTAAAGGTTTCTAGGCGTTCCTTGCTGATTGACCTACTATTTGATGGTGTCTTCATAGTTCCAGGGTCAACACCCCTAAGCAAAGCCATCAGCATGACACCAATTACACTATTAGCTCCCTATAAGGGAGAATTCTGACCACCACTGTAACTTGAGTTTTCTTGCCACTGACACAATGTAAGGAACATTTTTCCTACTGACTATGAATGTAGGTGTAATTTTTCTTAATACCTCCCAATAAATTGGGTTCCCTAAAACCCAATTGTTTTAGGGGTTCCTCTGCAGTAAAAAGGTTGAGAAAAGATGATCTAGACATTAACCAACTCCAGCCTTGAGAGTTTTGGCTTGCTTTGGATACATATACTATAATGCATATATACTTTCCTGATGAAGCACATGCATATGTTTGAAGAACACATCAACTACCACCCCAGCCTGTCAGTTGGTTCTGCTTAATACAAGATTATTAGACCTCAACTATCAGTTAAAGCGGAGTTACAAAAACTTTATCAGCTGACTTTTAAAAAATAGCCACTTACCTGTCCCTCGGTCCTGTTGTGTCCCCTGCAGCCCGTTTCACCTGCCGTCCTGTATTCTAGAAGGCCGGCATCTTCAGTGTGGGCACCCAGCTGTGATAGCTTGCGCCTTTACAGCCGGGTACCCACTGCGCATGCGTGAGTAGTAGCGCTGCGCTTCATGAGTGGTCCTGTAGTTTTCTGGGACCTGTCATGTGTCCCAAAAGACTACAGGGAGGGACGGAGAGAGGACACCTTCCACTTCCGATCACCTAGGTGATCGGACCGGAAGTGGGAGCAGGTACTTGTCAAATTCGGGTACCCGCTCCCCCCAGCCCCCCAAAGGTGCCAATCCTTAATGGGGAGTGGGGAAGCAGTCTTTAAAGTGGAACTTCCCCCCTTTTTTAAGTTCATCAAAAGATTCGTATTGAGGGTAACGAGGGGATTCTTTGTGGGAGTAACATAGATTGCGTCATAAAACACCCCTATTCCACATTTGAATATGTATTGGGTTTTGATACAATCCATTATATTATAAATCTTTGATTTTTAGCTTTTGTACAGATAAAATAAGTAATTTTATGAATGTAAATATTTGTGTAAGCATATGGTTCATGAAAAGTACCAGTCGTGAGTATATGATTTAATGTCTATTTATAATTATTTGAAAAATGGTGCTTTGACCTTATGAGCTGGGAGCTCGAATGTATATGCTCGATTTATTTTTTATTGGTGACCCTGTCAGTAACACACTTTTTGTCCTAAGGTCACAACACTTACTGTGCTTACTGGAGGAGCAGCATTGTCACCCTGGGACAGGAAATGGGCTACAAGACACATTGAAATGTATTGAATATGGCCATAATTGTAGCATTTCAAATGTATGGCAATATATTTGGGAAGAATATTTTAAAAATATATTTCAAATATATTTTTGTTCCATGTGGGTAAGTCAGGACACCATGCCTTAACTAGCTGCCGACCGCAGATAGCCGAATGACGGCTAAACTGCGGCCGGCCAGTTCTGAGTGGACGTCATATGACGTCCTCCCAGAACGCGCTCTCCTGCGCGCCCCAGGGGGCGCGCGCCGGCGATCTCCGTGATCGCTGTGTCCTACGGACACAGCTGATCACGTGATGTGGTAAAAGGCCAATCACAGCGGCCTTTTACCACCTGATCAGCGGTGTCCAATGACACGCTGATCAGAGGGAAATGCAAGTGCCGGTTCTCGGCTGCACTTTCCTCACGCTGTCAGATCGTGAGGAAAGTACTGCCGAGAACCGGCAGTTGTCAGAGCGGGGATCGGCACCGATCATCAGGGCACTGATGATCAGTGCCCTGATGATCGGTGCCCAGCAGTGCCACCCGCAAGTTCCGCCCACCTGTGCCCAGCAGTGTGCCCACTAGCTCCGCCCACCTGTGCCCAGCAGATCACCCACCTGTGTCCAGCAGTGCACCCACCTGTGCCCAGCAGTGCACCCACCTGTGCCACTCTGCAGTGCCACCTACCTGTGCCCAGAAGTGCCACCTACTTGTGCCCAGCAGTGCCACCCACCTGTGCCCACCCACCTTTGCCCACCAGTGCCACCCACCTGTGCCCACCCACCAGTGCTGCCCACCAGTGCAGCCCAGCAGTGCTGCCAGTCAGTGTCGCCAGTCAGTGCCCAGGGGTTGTGCCAGTCAGTGCCGCCAGTCAGTGCCCAGCAGTGATGCCAGTCAGTGCCGTCTATCAGTACCCATCATCAGTGTCACCTATCAGTGCCGCCTATCAGTGCTGCATATTAGTGCCGCCTATCCGTGACACCTCATTAGTGCTGTCTATCAGTGCCGCCTATCCGTGCCACCTCATTAGTACTGCCTATCAGTGCCCTTTAGTGCTGCCTATCAGTGCTGCCTATCAGTGCCCATCAGTGCTGCCTCATCAACGTACATCAGTGAAGGAGAAAAAATACCTGTTTGAAAAATTTTACAATAGAAACAAAGAAACTTTTTTTTTTTTTCAAATCTTTTGCACTTTTTTTATTTAAAGCGCAAAAAGTAAAGTGCCCAGTGGCAATTAAATACCACCAAAAGAAAGCTCTATTTGTGAGAAAAGAATGATCAAAATTTCATATGGGTACAATGTTGCATGACCGCGCAATTGTCAAAGTGCGGCAGCGCTGAAAGCTGAAAATTGGCCTGGTAAATAAGGGGGTATAAGTGCCTGGTAGGCAAGTGGTTATACTGCAGTGCATTTGTGTTTGAAGGTGAGTTACGGTGACATTCACAGTAAATGGCACCTCAGAGTACCAATGCATGTAACATGCATTGTTGTGCTTTACTACAATTAAAGTGGTGTGAATGGGCCCTAACACTTACACTTTTATACCTTTGTGCAATTTACTTTGTTGCAGCCTCCCTTGATCATTCCAAACATATAATTGCAGATGGCATACCTACAGTCAGGTCCATAAATATTGGGACATCAACACAATTCTAACATTTCTGGCTCTATACACCACCACAATGGATTTGAAATGAAACAAACAAGATGTGCTTTAACTGCAGACTGTCAGCTTTAATTTAAGGGTATTTACATCCAAATCAGGTGAACGGTGTAGGAATTACAACAGTTTGCATATGTGCCTCCCACTTGTTAAGGGACCAAAAGTAATGGGACAGAATAATAATCCTAAATCAAACTTTCACTTTTTAATATTTGGTTGCAAATCCTTTGCAGTCAATTACAGCCTGAAGTCTGGAATGCATAGACATCACCAGACGCTGGGTTTCATCCCTGGTGATGCTCTGCCAGGCCTCTACTGCAACGGTCTTCAGTTCCTGCTTGTTCCTGGGGCATTTTCCCTTCAGTTTTGTCTTCAGCAAGTGAAATGCATGCTCAATCGGATTCAGGTCAGGTGATTGACTTGGCCATTGCATAACATTCCACTTCTTTCCCTTAAAAAACTCTTTGGTTGCTTTTGCAGTATGCTTTGGGTCATTGTCCATCTGCACTGTGAAGCGGCGTCCAATGAGTTCTGAAGCATTTGGCTGAATATGAGCAGATAATATTGCCCGAAACACTTCAGAATTCATCCTGCTGATTTTGTCAGCAGTCACATCATCAATAAATACAAGAGAACCAGTTCCATTGGCAGCCATACATGCCCACGCCATGACACTACCACCACCATGCTTCACTGATGAGGTGGTATGCTTAGGATCATGAACAGTTCCTTTCCTTCTCCATACTCTTCTCTTCCCATCACTCTGGTACAAGTTGATCTTGGTCTCATCTGTCCATAGGATGTTGTTCCAGATGTCGTTGGCAAACTCTAATCTGGCCTTCCTGTTTTTGAGGCTCACCAATGGTTTACATCTTGTGGTGAACCCTCTGTATTCACTCTGGTGAAGTCGTCTCTTGATTGTTGACTTTGACACACATACACCTACCTCCTGGAGAGTGTTCCTGATCTGGCCAACTGTTGTGAAGGGCGTTTTCTTCACCAGGGAAAGAATTCTTCAGTCATCCACCACAGTTGTTTTCCATGGTCTTCCGGGTCTTTTGATGATGCTGAGCTCACCGGTGTGTTCCTTCTTTTTAAGAATGTTCCAAACAGTTGTTTTGGCCACGCCTAATGTTTTTGCTATCTCTGTGATGGGTTTGTTTTGTTTTTTCAGCCTAATGATGGCTTGCTTCACTGATAGTGACAGCTCTTTGGATCTTATCTTGAGAGTTGACAGCAACAGATTCCAAATGCAAATAGCACACTTGAAATGAACTCTGGACCTTTTATCTGCTCATTGTAATCGGGATAATGAGTGAATAACACACACCTGGCCATGGAACAGATGAGAAGCCAATTGTCCCATTACTTTTGGTCCCTTAACAAGTGGGAGGCACATATGCAAACTGTTGTAATTCCTACACCGTTCACCTGATTTGGATGTAAATACCCTCAAATTAAAGCTGACAGTCTGCAGTTAAAGCACATCTTGTTTGTTTCATTTCAAATCCATTGTGGTGGTGTATAGAGCCAAAAATGTTAGAATTTTGTCGATGTCCCAATATTTATGGACCTGACTGTATGTAAGCCAAGTGATTGACAGGTATGGAGAGCTTTGGAGACGGCATAAATATAAGTTCCAATAAGTAAACCTTTCACCTCAGGAAAGCGTATTAACTCTTACCAATCTACTGAGAATATTATTTATTTTTATAGCCTCCAGAACCCCTTTAAGAGCTTCTAATAATACCAAACTAAATTCACCTCCTGTCTATTTTATTGCACCTGACCTAATTCCCTATGTGCTTGTTTTACCATCTTACTTATATTGTCTGTAGTTTTTATAATCTGAAATTTAGAGGCAGTGAAATAGTTTATAGCTCATCACATGTCTGGGAATTGCTGCAAGAAACTCACCTCATTTTATAATGAACTAATATTGTAAACCTGAAAATAGTACATGCTCCATAAATTGCATTTAGCTTGGTGGTAACTGAGATAAGACCTTTAAATCCATAAAACTGAAAGCCTGAGACCTCCAAATGGATGGGGCAAAAGTTGTACAGCTAGTACAAGAGACGCCTAGCTAAGCTGCTGATTTTTATCATCTTAGGTTAGTAAGAGTAAATGTGTTTGGCTGAAGAGATGTTACAAACTGAACTGTGAAAGGGCTGTATGTAATGCATTCTGGGAATTGAGTTTGCAACATGAATCAAACAGTCATTTTTATTGTAGATGTAGTTAATGTGTGTTCTGGTCCTTAAAGCAGCTCTGTCAGTGAAAAACAAAACAGCTTGTAGGTATAAAGTGCACCTAAAGGTGCCTGCACAAACCTGTAGCAGCCCTTGTCTACTGGGGTGCCCAAATGCCGGGCTGTTTTAATGGGCAAACATAACTGTGAACAACATATACACAGGTGCAGTTTACTTTCTCCACTGTTAGCGGCCTGCGTCGGAACTTGAGGGGAAATCAAGGTAAACCTGGGTTCTCTATGGTTGGCATCGCTGCAACCAGATGACCTTGCCAGCCATCTTGGGTCAAGCAGAGTCCTTTTAAGTTCCTGCTCCCAGGTTTTGGTGTGCTTTTGCAAAGTGGCTAGCGGAGGGTGAGGATGCCTGTCTGTCAGGGACAGCACCAGTGGCAGGGAGAGGTTCTGAAGGAGTAGAGAGAGCTCAGGGCCTACCTCTACACTTCAGCAAGCTCCCTTTTGGGTTGGACTGGGCAGACCGTCTTCCAACCCTTGCCCCCTGGCAAGCGCTATCTTTAGTTTGGGTCTACTGCCACTGACTCTCCGCTGCATTGACTGTAAGTTCCTGGTCAGGTGAGTTCCCCCGTTGGGGTGTTTTACTGTTTGCAAGTTCCTCAATACATTGGTTACTGCACTCTGGGCCTCTGTTGTGTGTATACTGCCAATGCACATGCTGCACCTACCCAACAAACATACCATTGTGTCTACAGTCTTCTCCTTGCTACAATCCCTCAACAGCATTAATACAGTGGTTTTTGTTTTTCTGAGGCCCCCCATGATGTAGTTTTATTATCTATTTATCTTGCCATTAGTTAAGTTGATTTTCCACTTTTTAACAGGGTAAATACTGTGATATCTCCAGATTCCAGTTAAGAAGTGTAGCACCCTCAAATAGGACCCACTAAAAGATGATGATCTAAGTTCTCCCCTTCCTGTTCAGAGTCGGCCAGCACACCAAAGCAAAGTTCAAATCACACTGACAAGAAGCAGTCTAGGGGAATGTTTTTTTAAGATTTATTGGTGGAACTTGAAGAAAAGGGAAGAGGGGCAGGGTATGGAAAATTACAAGTTGTAAAGGTTCAATAAGAGGACATTCTTCTCTGTGCTATACCCCTCAGAGCCAATTCTTCTGCTAAGTACCAGGATACAGTCCCCCTCAATAGACTAAGGGAAAGCCAGAGGTAGAAGAAGAGCTAATTGGTCACCAGGATCTTGCAGAACAGTCAGTACTCATGAGGCTAGGGAGTAGCCCTGTGAGCTTCATCCAGAGACCTTCTAGTGAGGCTTTGAAGACTGGATCTGTCAGGTAAATTCTTTGGGGTTGAGTTGGATCTCCTTAGGTACAGACCCCCCCCAGCACCGCCACATCTGGGACCTCGATAAGCAGGAACAGGACTCAGTGGAACCTTCCCCAAGGGGAGGAGGTAGCCACACCTCACCCAGACAGGTGGAATCCCTTTAACAGGAAGATCCTGCTGTTCTGGAGTTCACACTATTTATCAGCCTCTTCAGCCACCTACTGGGCCACCCCTACTAGGGATTGCTGATACTCAATAAATCTTAAGCTGCCTATTTGACTCTCCCTCTTTAGAGGCCTCTAGAAAGCAGAGTGAAACGTCAAACCTGTATCCTGTGAAACCCAAAACATCCCAAAGAAATCAAAAGACGCCCCAATGACTACAAAGGAGCCAAAAAGAACTAAATTTACCTAACATTCTAGCAGCCTATCTAGGAGGGTGCTACAGCAGCAAACCTACTTAACGGTCATCCAGAGCGATCATACTAACTGCCACTCAGGTTCCTTTGAATTTTATCAGTCCAGTACATGCTTTAATCAACATTACTAATTT